TCCCCCCCCATGCGGGAATGCCGCCTTAATCGGCCAAGCAGTGCAGCCCAGCTCCAGACACGCATTGAGAGTGCCCTGGCAGGCAGCCCCTGCCTGGGCCACAGCAAGCTCAGCCGGGAGCCCAGCTTCATCGTGGTGCATTATGCGGGGTCTGTGCGGTACCACACCGCAGGCCTGGTGGAAAAGAACAAGGTGAGGCTGGGCCGTGGCCTGCGGGCCCCTCCGTGAAGGGAGATGCTGAGCCATCGCTGCACGTGCATGGAAGCTTCCATCGAGTGTCCCCTCCTGAACGTCCTCCCGAGTCCAGGGTCGCCTCTTGGGCCCTCCTCTCTGAGGTCTCTGCTCATCAGGCGCAACCTGCCCAGAAATGGCTGCATCTCCTGGCTTCTAGGCACCCGGGAGACCAGCTCTGAATCTCTTGGGCTCAGGCCCTGCCCTTCTTCTGGGGCCTGGGTGATTAGGGCTGGCAGCCTGTGGGCAGCACCACGCCTGCTCTCACCCTTGTCCTTTCCCCATAGGACCCCATCCCCCCTGAGCTGACCAGGCTCCTGCAGCAATCCCAGGACCCCCTGCTCAAGGTGCTGTTTCCTGCTGACCCTGAAGAGAAGTCCCAGGAGGAGCCCTCTGGCCAGAGCAGGGCCCCTGTATTGACCGTGGTGTCCAAGTTCAAGGTGGGTCCGAGTGCTGATGCGACGTGCTTGGTTCACTCATCAATCTCCAGTGCTTACCAAGCACCTCCCAGGATCAGTGCTGTGTGCTGGGAGCACTGAGGAGTCAGGTAGCCGTGGTCCTGGTTCACGGAAGACAGAGACCGGAAACTGACAGAGGGACTGTGTGTGTAGTTGACGTGACAGGAAGCCTAGGGGCCCGTGGGTGGCAGTGCGGCCTTTCGCCCACTGCTGATAGGGTGATCATGGAAGAGCAGTAGTTACCTGAACCTCTGTGACTGGCCCACTCCCAGTTCCCTAGCTTCCTGCTCAAACTCTGTCCTCTGCCAGAGCAGACTGGTCCCCTCCTGCCGTAGCTCCGCCCTTGCACGTTAGGCTGCACCGCCCCTCAGCTCCACCCTCACTCCCGCCCTCCACGCCCCTTCTCTTAGTTTATTCCTCGTCCTCCTTCCAGCCACAGCCTTCTCATCACCTCCCACGGGAGGCAACCAGGGGAGCCCAGGTTTGGTTAGCCCTTTCCTGCCCAGCCTCAGACACACCACTGAGAGAGCCCAGCCCACATCTGCAAGGCCCAGTTAGGCCCCGAGCTGTGAGACGACGGCAGATGGCCATGTCCGTAGCCCTGGCAAGGCTTCCAGCACACAGGACGGGCTTAGTCGCCCGAACAGCTGTCGCCCGAACAAATGGCAGGGGGTTCTGAGATGCTTCTTTTCTGGAAAGCTTGCTGTGGTGGGGGGTGGCTGAGACCAGATGCAGGGAGACCAACCCGGTAGGGAGGGCCACAGGTCAAGAAGGGTCCCTGGAGGCGGAGGTGAGGAGTGTGCTCTGGGCACACCCACTGAGAGCCGCCAGGACTCATTCAGGGCTTGTGAGGATCCAGCTCTAGGGGCTGGGAGGGCTGCTTGGAGGTGTCATTAACCAGGGCCCAGCCGGTGTTCCCCCAGCAGCCTGACCCACGGTCTCTCCCCTCTGCAGGCCTCCCTGGAGCAGCTTCTGCAGGTCCTGCATAGCACCACACCCCACTACATTCGCTGCATCAAGCCCAACAGCCAGGGCCGGGCGCAGATGTTCCACCAGGAGGAGGTAATTCACACTGGGCCAGAGCTGCTTTGTGGAGGGTCCCATTCGGCCAAGACCCTGGAGGCGTAAGGGGCAGGACGTCTGCTCCAAATGGAGTGACATTAGGGAGGGCTTATCTCCCCAGCTCTGGCAGGACAGTCATGTTCAGTTGTGTGGTCTGTGTACTGCATGGTGGCCCAACCACAGGAGGCAAGTAGGGGCTACAGTGCATCATGCTCTCTGCTCACCAAGCCATGTGCCCTGACAAGAGACTGAGGCTGCCCAGAGGAATGGGTGTCTTTTGTGATTAGCTGAACGTCTGTGTCACCTTACAGATCAGGCACAGTGCACTGCTTCTGATGGAAGGATAGTTTCTAAAACCGTGGTGTCCAAGTTCAAGGTGGGTCCGAGTGCTGATGCGACGTGCTTGGTTCACTCATCAATCTCCAGTGCTTACCAAGCACCTCCCAGGATCAGTGCTGTGTGCTGGGAGCACTGAGGAGTCAGGTAGCCGTGGTCCTGGTTCACGGAAGACAGAGACCGGAAACTGACAGAGGGACTGTGTGTGTAGTTGACGTGACAGGAAGCCTAGGGGCCCGTGGGTGGCAGTGCGGCCTTTCGCCCACTGCTGATAGGGTGATCATGGAAGAGCAGTAGTTACCTGAACCTCTGTGACTGGCCCACTCCCAGTTCCCTAGCTTCCTGCTCAAACTCTGTCCTCTGCCAGAGCAGACTGGTCCCCTCCTGCCGTAGCTCCGCCCTTGCACGTTAGGCTGCACCGCCCCTCAGCTCCACCCTCACTCCCGCCCTCCACGCCCCTTCTCTTAGTTTATTCCTCGTCCTCCTTCCAGCCACAGCCTTCTCATCACCTCCCACGGGAGGCAACCAGGGGAGCCCAGGTTTGGTTAGCCCTTTCCTGCCCAGCCTCAGACACACCACTGAGAGAGCCCAGCCCACATCTGCAAGGCCCAGTTAGGCCCCGAGCTGTGAGACGACGGCAGATGGCCATGTCCGTAGCCCTGGCAAGGCTTCCAGCACACAGGACGGGCTTAGTCGCCCGAACAGCTGTCGCCCGAACAAATGGCAGGGGGTTCTGAGATGCTTCTTTTCTGGAAAGCTTGCTGTGGTGGGGGGTGGCTGAGACCAGATGCAGGGAGACCAACCCGGTAGGGAGGGCCACAGGTCAAGAAGGGTCCCTGGAGGCGGAGGTGAGGAGTGTGCTCTGGGCACACCCACTGAGAGCCGCCAGGACTCATTCAGGGCTTGTGAGGATCCAGCTCTCGGGGCTGGGAGGGCTGCTTGGAGGTGTCATTAACCAGGGCCCAGCCGGTGTTCCCCCAGCAGCCTGACCCACGGTCTCTCCCCTCTGCAGGCCTCCCTGGAGCAGCTTCTGCAGGTCCTGCATAGCACCACACCCCACTACATTCGCTGCATCAAGCCCAACAGCCAGGGCCGGGCGCAGATGTTCCACCAGGAGGAGGTAATTCACACTGGGCCAGAGCTGCTTTGTGGAGGGTCCCATTCGGCCAAGACCCTGGAGGCGTAAGGGGCAGGACGTCTGCTCCAAATGGAGTGACATTAGGGAGGGCTTATCTCCCCAGCTCTGGCAGGACAGTCATGTTCAGTTGTGTGGTCTGTGTACTGCATGGTGGCCCAACCACAGGAGGCAAGTAGGGGCTACAGTGCATCATGCTCTCTGCTCACCAAGCCATGTGCCCTGACAAGAGACTGAGGCTGCCCAGAGGAATGGGTGTCTTTTGTGATTAGCTGAACGTCTGTGTCACCTTACAGATCAGGCACAGTGCACTGCTTCTGATGGAAGGATAGTTTCTAAAGTTTGCACAAAAGCACTCTGTGGCCAGCAGCTGCCCTTTGCCCTTTGGAGGGATGTGGTAGAGATATGAGAGCTGGACGATGCTGGAGAGTGTCCCACAGTCGACTGGCAGATAAGACGTTAGGGTTCATAGTCAGGACCACTGCTCTGTGGTAAAGACCTTGGTTGGGTCCCAGAAGCATCTTCACAGTATAACCTCCCCTGCCTCTTAACTATGACTCACTCTATTGACTGCAGAATATAAAATAAATAAAAAGGAGGAATTGGATTGGGCTGCATTGTGAGGCAAAGACGGGAGCGGTGAGACAGCCAGGACTAGCATTGGCCTCAGTTGTACCAGAAGCCAGGCTTCAGATAAGGGGACCTGGGGCCACCAGGACCCTTTCTAACAGGGAGATTTTCTCAAGGTCCCTTGATTTCTCACTGCCCCAAAGACTGCCCATCAGGAGAGCCTGCAGATCCACACCAGCAGGGCCACAGGAAGGGTGGCATTTGGGGCCTGCTGGCCCCATGCTGCAGCCCTGTCTCCCTAACCCTGCAGGTCCTGAGCCAGCTGGAGGCCTGTGGCCTCGTGGAGACCATCCACATCAGTGCCGCCGGCTTCCCCATCCGGTGAGTGGGCCGGTCCATCCAGTGCAGGGGGCAGGGCCAATGCCAGGGTGGAGCTCAGGGCGCAGGTCAGACGAGAGCGTGACCAGCCCAGAGCAGGATGTGGAGATGAAGAGAAAGAGACAGGTCCACAGAAGTCGGCCTGGAGCTCTAGGGCTGCGCTCACTTTCTGTGGCCTGTTTTGTGGAGGCACCTTGTCTGGTGTGTATCAGTGAATAAGAAAGGTGAGTCTTGCCCTCTTGGGATGTACATCGCTGTGGAAAGGAACAAAATGTGCCGTTAGGTGGACAAATGGGGAAGGGATCAGGACTGCTCAGGGAGGGGCCCTCTGCAGCTCAGGCCTAGGGAAGCAAAGCCAAGGGGCCAGCCTGGGAAGACTTGGAGGAGGGGAGAGTATTCGAGACCCGGGGAACAGCAACCCCAAAGCTCCCAGGTTAGGACCTGAGAGATGCTAAAGTGACCGGAGCACACACAACAGACGGGGGGAAGCGGGGAGGCTTTAGGCCACGGGAAGACTGCTGCCTTCCTGAGGGCCATGGGAGCCGCCGGGCGTTGTAAGCAGGGCGCGCTGTGCGCTCGTTCGTGTTCCGTGGCTGCTGTGTGGAGGCTGCCCTAGGGTCAGGAGAGGAGGGAGGAGATGAGCAGGTGGCTGTTACAGGTAGAACAGGTGTGATGGTGGCCCAGTGAAAAATGGAGAGAAGTGGGTAAAAGTGGAGTGTGGCTTGCCATAGAAATGGGACTGTGAATGGATAGACCGTGGGGTACGGGGCAGAGGAGCCGTCGACTTCCAGGCTTCCATCTGAGGCAAGTGGATGAATCAGGACACAGGATGGTCTGCGGGAGAGGGCAGGGGAGAGTCCGGTTTGAAATGGAGGGGCACATGAGGGTCTGTCCTCAGTGACTTTTAACACCGTGAGCAAGGAGATCACAGGGGTAGAGGGAGGTCTGAGGCCATTCCCTGAGGAACGCTCATGTTTAGAGAGGGTGGATGACGAGAAACCAGCAACAACTTGGAGGGGGTCGGGGTGAAGGAGGAAGCCAGGACCGTGGGTGTCCTGGAGGCTGAGAGCAAGCTCTACAAGGGAGAGGGGTCAGCTGGGCACCTGCTGCTGAGAGGCTCGTCAAAGCACTGACCCCTGGAATTGGTGGCCACGCTGGTGCAGTTTTGGGGACAGAAGCCAAACTCAGGAGGAGGAAGTACCGATGTGTAGG